CGAGTAGCTGGGATTACAGGCATCCACCACCACGCCCGGCTAATTTTTGTATTTTTAGTAGAGATGGGGTTTCACCATGTTTGCCAGGCTGGTCTCGAACTCCTGACCTCATGATCCACCCACCTCAGCCTCCCAAAGTTCTGCGGTTACAGGCATGAAGCACTGTGCCTGGCTAAGAATGAGCTTTCTAAAACACAAAACTGATTATGTTACTTCTCTACCATATATATTCAATGACATCCTACTACATAAGAGATGCATCTATTAGTAGGTATTTTAGTGGTCACATAAATTGGAGGAATACTGGGTTAAACCAAGTAAAAGTTTTTTACAGCAATGCTTCTCGAAGATGTTGATATTCTCATACAGACTGTAAACGTCTACATAAAGGATAGCACATCTGGCTATTCTCCAAAGTTGACCAAGGCATTCTTTTTATTTTATTTATTTATTCTGAGTTGGAGTCTTGCTCTGATGCCCAAGCTGGAGTGCAGTGGTACGATCTCTGCTCACTGCAACCTCTGCCTACTGGGTTCAAGCGATTCTCCTGTCTCAGTCCCCCAAGTAGCTGGGATTACAGGCGTGTGCCACCACACCTGGCTAATTTTTGTATTTTTAGTAGAAATGGGGTTTCTCCATGTTGGCCAGGCTAGTCTGGAACTCCTGACCTCACGTGATGCACCTGCCTCGGCCTCCCAAAGTGCTGGGATTACTGGTGTGAGCTACTGTGCCTGGCCTCTTTTTTTAAAATAGCAGCTTGATGAACTAATGCTCCTTGGAACATACACTGGGAATCAATTTAGATATTTCATCAACTGACAAGGCATACAGGGCAATGTGAGAGGCAGATTGGGTGTAACGGTTTTAGAACAGAGAAAAACCACGGGGCCCTGGCTTCTTCACACTGTAGCTGGTCACTTTGGTTGTTAGTTAAACTTCATGATTCAGTTCCCATACTTGTATAATGGAGAAAACAATAGTACCTACCTCATAGAGTTGCTGACAGGATGAAATGAGCCACTAATAACAAAGCAATTATTAGTTTTTCCCTGCTTCTCCCCTTCTCTTAAACTGAAGATCTTGTTAGAATGAATTATTCATGCGAATCCAAGAGTTACTGATGCCTTTACTACTGCTTGCTTCCTATATATATCTACTCCTATTTTTAAAGTCCAGCTCAAAAGAAAACCAATTTGGAGATTTCCTTAATCTAAAACCCTGAAGAGATTTAATGCTTTTTTCCATTTTGTGTCCATAGTACTTTCTCCATCAAAACATCATAGCTTTCATTACATTACAAATCAATAGCTTCCTGTTTTTCATATTAGTATGTTAAGTCAGCAGAATAGATAATGTTTAATCCATACATGTTTGAATGACTTGTGAATTTAAAAAGTGATTTTAAAAATTAGGCCCGGAGCAGTGGCTCACGCTGTAATCATTATTTCCTCTGAATCCAACTTACCATTTTTTCTTGTATGTTATTCATGTTTGGTTTATTTTATAAAGACAGGGCCTTCCTCTGTCACCTGATATAAGAGCTGGCAGTGCAGTCTGGAGGGGAAAGGCTCTAGACAGAACAAGATCCTGTTTTATAAAATAAACAAGCAAGCCATGCTCGGTGGCTCATGCATGTAATCCCAGCACTTTGGGAGGCCGGGACAGGCGGATCGCCTGAGCTCAGGAGTTCGAGACCAGTTTGGCCATCATGGTAAAACCCTGTCTCTACTGAAAATACAAAAATTAGCCTGACGTGGCCAGGCGTGGTGGCTCACACCTGTAATCCCAGCACTTTGGGGGGCCGAGGTGGGCGAATCACTTGAGGTCAGGAGTTCGAGACCAGCCTGAACAACATGGTGAAACCCCGTCTCTACTAAAAATACAAAATTGGCTGGGCGTGGTGGTGCATGCCTGTAATCCCAGCTACTCGGGAGGCTGAGGCAGGAGAATCACTTGAACCCAGGAAGCAGATGTTGCAGTGAGCCAAGATCGAACTACTGCACTCCAGCCTGAGACTCCATCTCAAAATAAAATAAAATAAAATAAAATAAAAATAAAAAACAAAACACGAATAAAGAATAAATAACATACAAGAAAAAACAAAATGGATTCAGAGGAAATAATGAAAGACAATAAAAACATTGAGTGCCAAGTGCGTGCTCTCTCTCTATACATATATATGTACACATATCTCTATGTATATATATATTTTGAGACGGAATCTCCCTCTGTTGCCAGGCTGGAGTGCAGTGGCACGATCTCGGCTCACTGCAACCTCCGCCTCCCGGGTTCAAGCGATTCTCCTGCTTCAGCCTTCCGAGTAGCTGGGACTATAGGCGCAGACCACCACAGCCAGCTAATTTTTGTATTTTTAGGAGGGACGGGGTTTCAACACGTTGGCCAGGATGGTCTCGATCTCTTGACCTCGTGATCTGCCCGACTCGGCCTATCAAAGTGCTTGGATTACAGGCATGAGCCACCATGCCCGGCCTATATTTTTTATTTGAACAAATTTTCAATTGTGGTCCCAAATTTTTATGAACTTATTGAAAATAAGGGTAAGTTTATTAAAGAGCAGTACCTATAATGTTTTGCAAATAAAATCTAGGCTTCTCTTGAAGATCTTGTAACAAACTAGATTATCATTTGACTCCTATAGTTGTAATATAAAATACAAATACAACTAAAAGCTAGCCGGCTGGGTGCGGTGGCTTACACCTGTGGGCAGATCACTTGTCAGGAGTTCGAGACCAGCCTGGCCATCATGGTGAAACCTCGGCTCCACTAAAAATACAAAAATTAGCCCAGCATGTGGTACACACTGTAGTCCTAGCTACTCGAGAGGCTGAGGTAGGAGAATTGCCATCCTGGCTAACACAGTGAAACCCCGTCTCTACTAAAAAAAACAAAAAAACAAAAAAATTAGCTGGGTGTAGTGGTGGGCACCTGTAGTTCCAGAAAGAAAGGTGTGAACCTAGGAGGCAGAACTTGCAGTGAGCCGAGATGGCGCCACTGCACTCCAGCCTGGGCAATAGAGCGAGACTCTGTCTCACACACACACACAAGAAAGAAATTTATAAAAAAATCAGTCAATGCTACAGGAAGTAATATATTAAGACAGATACTCCCATTAGTGTCAGTAAGAATGCAAATGGGTAGGCCAGGCATGGTGGCTCACACTTGTAATCCCAAGCACTTTGGGAGGCCAAGGCGGGTGGATCACTAGAGGTCAGGAGTTTGAGACCAGCCTGGCTGACATGGTGAAACCCCATCTCTACTAAAAGTACAAACATTAGCCAGGTGTGGTGGCATGCGCCTGTAAACCCAGCTACTCGGCAGGCTGAGACAGGAGAATCACTTGAACCCGGGAGGTGGAGGTTGCAATGAGCCGAGATCGTGCCACTGCACTCCGGCCTGGGAGACAGAGTGAGACTCCATCTCAAAACAAAAAAAGTAAATTGGCATATAGTTTTTGGGAATGTGTTTTGCATGCAAAGCCTCAAAAGAGCCAATTTTAGAAATTAATACTAATGAAATAATATAAAATACATAAAGATGTTTTCTGCTCTTTGCAATAAACTAGGAAAAAACCTCTGAAGGTACAGACAATAAAGGATGATTAAGATTTATCCCAATGAAGCCATTTAACAAGCTATACATTTAGATCTAATTAATATGGGCAGATGTTTTAAGTTTCATGAGGACACTGCTCTTATCTAGCTTTTCACTTTTGTATCCCTAGGGCATAGAATAAGGCCTAGCACATAAATGTTTAATAAGTATTTGGTAAGTAAATGAAAAAGTAATGTTAAGTAAAAATGATATAAAATTTTATAAAATGTGATTTCTGTGAAGAAGCTGTATAGAAAAAGAATTGGAAAGACACACAACCAAATGGGAAAAGAGGTCATGGGCAATTTTACAAAACAGCTTTATTGAGGTATAATTTGACATACCATGAAATTCACCCATTGTATGTGTACAATTCAATTACTTCATTTATACAACTGTTCAATAATCACCATATTCCAGCTTGATGGTCAATATTTGCTTTGTCATTTGATCTTTTGTCTATGGTAAACAAAAATCTATTATTTGAAAGGTTCCTTCACTGAAAGCTGGGTGCAGTTGAACTCTAAAATTACCAACAAAATTACTTTCTATGTAATCATCTATGTCTAATTCTTCAGTTTGACACATGCATGTTACTAGCACAAGTTGCATATAAAGGCAGCAGGAAGGTCTTTCACTATTATTAAAAATTAACTTTAAGGATGGAGCAGGCACGATACAGTATAGATTGTTTCGTGAACTATATAGTAAGGTCAATATTCTTGCTCCTTCTACAAATAAAAAAAAAAAGTTCCAGAGAATAACAAGTACAGGTGGAGTTCCCATTGGAAATGCAGGTATTGAATGCAATCAACCGCAACTGTTTCTCTGCTCCTCAATCCTGCTAGCGTACTACGCGAGCTGCCGACGTCCCCCAACCCACCAGGTAAGCCAGCCGCTCCAGTCCCTAGCCTGTGAGGGGGTCAGAGGTAAGACCTTCGGTGTATTCACTTAGCTCCCTACGGAAAACTCTTCGAGAAGAAGGCGACTGAGATCGGTTAGCACTTAAATCCCTTTCACAGCCCCGGCTCCCATCGCCCCTCCTATGGCCTCCTACCTGCAGAGAAGCAGAGCAGGTACACCAAGTGCCTTAGGCGGGCCAAGCCTAGCACTGTGGGAGCAAAAAACATGGCTTCATCGTCAGGGTGCGCTATGGCCAGGAGGGTCCGGCTTTCGGCTCCCAGGCGTTCTCCCTGCTCCCGACTCTTCACTCGTTCTGAGGAGTCCCAAACCCGGAGGAAGCCCCATGCCACGACCGCCGCCGCCACACACAGGAGCCACATTGCTTCCATTACGGGTAAGTAGCATTGAGCCTGCGCAGTAGGAAAGGCTAACTGACCCCGACTCCGGCTGGAAAACGGCACCCGGGGATGTTGGGTTCCGCGGTTAAGTCCCTCCCCACCGACATGCTCCGGAAGCTTGAGGTTTTACCATTAAGGGTTCTCCTGTGTTTTAACACAGAAGTCGCCATGCCGTCCAGTTTCCTACCCTAGTCCTACCACACTGTACAATCGCTTTAAAAGGACGCGTCTTATATATAAGCTACCACTTCTTGTCTTGTAGGAAGAGTGCCTTCCTCTTCTTCAACTCATTTTCGAACTCATTTCTTAAAACTCGAGCCTTTCTCGTAATTATAGGGTTAGATAGCCCGTTATCCGGATGACAGTTTTCCGAAGCAGCCAGTTACACCAACTTTGTTTTTCCTTCTCACTTTTGGATGGCTTTTCTTTTTTTTTTTTGAGAGGCTCTGTCGGCCAGGCTGTAGTGCAGTGGAGCGATCTCGGCTCACTGCAACCTCTGTCTCCCGGGTTCAAGCGACTGTTCTGCCTCAGCCTCCCGAGTAGTTGGGACTATAGGCGCGCGCCACCACGCCCGGCTAATTTTTGTATTTTTAGTAGAGACAGTGGTTCACCATATTAACTAGGCTGGTCTGGAACTCCTGACCTCGTGATCCGCTCGCCTAGGCCTCCCAAAGTGCTGGGATTACAGGCGTGAGCCACCGCGCCCGGCTCCTTCTTTTTTTTGAGTCAGGGTCTGGCTCTGGTCGCCCAGGCTGGAGTGCAGTGGCGCGATCTAGGCTCGCTGCAACCTCAGCCTCCCGCGTTCAAGCAATTCTCCCACTTCGGCCTCCCCAGTAGCTGGGATTACAGGCACGCGCCACCACGCCCGTTAATTTTTGTATTTTTAGTAGTGACGGGGTTTCTCCATGTTGGTCAGGCTGGTCTCGAACTCCTGACCTTAAGTGATGGGCCGGCCTCGGCCTCCCAAAGTGCTGGGATTTACAAGCGTGACCCACTGCGTCCTGTCGGGCCTGGCTTTTCTAAAGGAAAGTATGCGTGTGGTTACGAGGAACCGTCATTTCCCCGGCAGGGTAAGGCTGAGAGTGCACTTAACAGTCGCGAGGGCCACAGGCTCCTATTGCAAGTAACTTAAGGTTAAGGAGAAACATCGTGGACAAATCGGCCTCGCCCAGCATTTCAGTGAGGGCTTGATACGAATTCCAGCCAGACCCCTAGAAAGTATCTTGGGCAGGTCGAAATGCACCCCTCCGGCTCCCAGCCACGAGGGGGACCTGGCTTCCCTCTCCGCGGCTCCGGACAGAGGAGGCCGCCACCGCCCCGCCGCCGAGGGGTTGCAGGGTCCCTTGCACGGCCTGGCGTTTTTCCTTTTCCCACGCCTGGGGAAGGCCTCAGGCGCGCAGAACAGACTGGCTCGCGGGGGGCGCACAAGCCCAGGGCGCGATGGCAGCCGCGCTGGATCCGGCTGGGCGCTGCCCGGCCCCGTCTCCGTCCGAGAGGACCGCCGCTGCCAGGCCTAGAGGAGACGTGAGGAGACCGGGCGCGGCGCGACCCAGGAAGCTCCGCCGAGGTAGGAGAGGCGCCCGGCCAGCGGAGGGAGTCGGTCTCCCAACTCTCCGGAAGGAGGAGGAGCCGGCGCCGGAGCCGCCTTAGCCGCGGCTCCCCGGGCTGGGGGGAGGGAGAGGGGTTGAGTCAAGATGGCGGCCAAGGTGGCGAAGCGGCAGCAGCGGCGGCGGCGGCGGCGGCTGGAGTGAGCGCTCGGCTCGCCGCGCCAAGCGAGGTCCCGGTGTAGGGCCGCGCGCCGGGACCGCGCCCTACTGCTCAGGCCGGGGCGCACGTCGGCTCCCACGCTCAGCCAGCTCCCGGTGAGTAGGCCCTGGCGCCTGCAACCCTGGCCTCCGGGCTCCTGTTAGTCCGGGGGCTTCCGAGGTCTCCCGGGGCAGCAGCCGCTGGGACGGTTTCTCCGCTGTGCGGGGGGTGTCGCAGGCCTGGGCAGGTCGGGACCCGTCCTGGCCGCCTGGCCTCTTCTCCTCGGTAGCCCAGGGGAGAGCCGGGCGCGGCGCGGAGCTCGGGCTCGGTTAGCGGAGGCTTATGGAGTTTGAAGGAAGAATGGGCTGTGGCCGGGCCGGGGCTGGTCCCGAGGTGTCCTGTGCGGAGGGGCGTGCAGAGCCTACAGGGCCCGCGAGGGAGAGCGGGCAGCCGGGGCCCCGGGTGGGGCCGGCGCAGGTGGCGGGCCTGGGCTCACTGAGGCGGAGTTGGTGGCCGACTTGGGAGTGTAGAAGGGGGCTAGGGAGGGTGACAGCCATGGACAAGTGCGAGCAGAGTAAATTAGTTCACTTTTCTAACAGACCGCTTCAGGGTGTAATGGCGAAGGCTGGGTACTGGTGGAGATGGCAAAGATCCGAACCCTATACCTCTGCCGTTTATTGTTGGTGTTTTCTTGAGCGAAGTCCGTGAGTGCACCTCTTTTTGGGGAGAGAGGAATTTGAGAAACTGTAGTTGTGAAATCAGCCTTTATGGAGAGGAGACTGAATTCTTCAAATTCACTGGATCAGGAATAGTCATGTATTAGAGGAATGGATGGGAATAAGTGATATGGACGAAAACTATTTGCTCAGAAAGTGTCAGTTTTCTTTATGTGATGTTGCATGCTGCGGTGCCTCTTCAACAGAGTTAACCTTGGAGAGTAGTGGTATAGGTAATTCTAATCTTTGGGATTAGTATGTAAACCTGCATCAGATTTGCTTCTCTAATTATATCCTAATTATATTGAAATTTACATTCCATGTGTGCACCCTGCTGAGACAGTGATGGAAGGCTGAACATGGCAATGTGCAAGGAGCAACAGGCCTGGGATTTAAAAATGCCTACAAAGATTCATTCATTCGTTCAACATATCTTGATCAATAGCTGCTGATGCTGGGTCACATGTGATTGTCCTGTGGATAACTGAAGAGTTGATGGCATTGTTTAATTTTTAATAGCTTTTTGAAATGTTTTGATGTACCTTTTCATGAAGATATTTATTGGATGAACCAACTTGTACTTGCCCGGGCTCAGGAGCAGACCAATTTTAGAATGTTATTTAGACAAGGGTAACAATTACAGAAGAAGTAACCGCAAGTTACTGGAGAGAGAAATCTTGTATCTTTTTTTCTTCTTCTGTTAACATCCGGTGGAAATTTATTTATTTATTTTAGTATTTATAGTACCCAGTTGCTTGGCCTTGCTTTAAGCACACCTGTTAATGGAAGTCAAGATTAATTGTATATATGGATATAGCTATGTATAAAATGCTCACAGTAGGAACTGATTACTTACAATACTAAAATACTCTTTCCTTTTACAAAAGGCTTGCCATATGTTGAACTACTCCCCCGGAGAAAATATAATACAAAGTATCTTGATTCTTGCTGTAACTATGTGACATTTTGGAACTTGATCAACCTTTCTGTGCTTCAGTTTCCTCATCTTTCATATTAGGTAAACATCTACTCTCCTAGGGTTGGCTATTGTGAGCCTAAAGGGAGTTAATAGTTATCAAATTGTTTTAAACAGACTGAAGGGGTTATATTTCTGTGAGGTGGTAACAGCTCCCTCTGGACTCCTGTAATGCTTTTTCTGCACATCTCTCGTGGCATTTACACTTTCAATCTTGTAGGTATTTATGTACCTATTTTATCTCTTGAGAGCAGGATAGGCCCTTCTCTGATTTTATCTTTTTTTTTTTTTTTTTGAGATGGAGTCTCGCTCTGTCGCCCAGGCTGGAGTGCAGTGGCACAATCTTGGCTCATTGCAACCTCTACCTCCGGGTTCAAGCGATTCCCCTGCCTCAGCCTCCCAAGTAGCTGGGACTACAGGCGCGTGCCACCACGACTGGCTAATTTTTTTGTATTTTCAGTAGAGGCGGGGATTCACCGTGTTAGCCAGGATGGTCTCGATCTCCTGACCTCGTGATCTGCCCGCCTTGGCCTCCCAAAGTGCTGGGATTACAGGTGTGAGCCACCATGCCTGCTTTATTTTTAATTGAATTTAAAAAACAGTAAAATTTGTGTTTTGCCTATCCTCTTAATCAAAAAAGAATGAAATGATGGAAATTAACTTATAGGCAAAATTATATTAGTCTATAACTTTTTTTTTTTTTTTTTTGAGACAGGATCTCTTTTGCCCAGGCTGAAGAACAGTGGCTCGCTGCAGCCTTGACCTCTGGACTCAGGTGATCCTTCCACCTCAGCCTCCCCAAGTTGCTGGGACTACAGGCACAGGCCACCATGGCTGGGTAATTTTTTTTTTTTTTTTTTTTGTAGAGACAGGGTTTAACCATGTTGCCTAGGCTGGTCTCCAGCTCCTGGACTCCAGCGATCTGCCTGTCTCAGCCTCCCAAAGTGCTAAGATGATAGGGGTGAGCCACTGCAACCGGCCTTAAAAGCATTTAAAAAAAGTTGTGTTATGAATTGGTGAGATTTTCTTTTCTTACCTTTGTTATCTGCTGTAGAAGGCAAAGGACTTTGGATAGACTGGGGGTTGATGTAGGTGAATGTCAGGCTGTTTGTTTTTTAAAAAATATGTTTTGGTTATTTGGTTTTGATTGTATTCTGTGATCTATCTTAGTTGTAATTTCAAATTCTTATTGATGCCTGGGAATGATATAACTCTTGCATATTTAGTTCCATCTGTTCTTTTACTTCAGATATTGGATTTTACTAGACTATAATACAAAACAACTAGTAAAGGTTGATCAGAATTTATTATGTATAATCTTATTTGTAGATTAGAGATTCATGTATTTTTGTTTACTCACTTATTCAACCAGTATGAGGTGTTTTTTATGTTCTGGCACACTACTAGTAAATACTAGAGAGTTATAAAGTATAGTCGAGCAGGTCAGTTATATTCACAAATAACTCAGTCTATAGATTATCTTTTTTTTTCTTTTTTTTCTTTTTTTTTCCTTTGAGACGGAGTTTTACTCTTGTCGCCCAGGCTGGAGTGCAGTGACGCGATCTCAGCTCACTGCAACTTCCGCCTCCCAGGTTCAAGTGATTTCTCCTGCCTCAGCCTCCTGAGTAGCTGGGATTACAGGCATGCGCCACCATACCTGGCTAATTTTTGTATTTTTAGTAGAGACGGGGTTTCACCGTGTTGGTCAGCCTAGTATCGAACTCCTGACCTCGTGATCTGCCCGCCTTGGCTTCCCAAAGTGCTGGGATTACAGGTGTGAGCCACTGTGCCCGGCCACATAGATTATCTTATATTTGGTCCTTTCCAGGTTTGAGGATGTGAAAAATACATGTAATACATGTAAATGGTTAAGAAAACATTTTGTTTCTTTTTTTATTTGCCCTTTTTAAGAGCACTGAAAAACTATGAAAAGCTTCTGTAATGTAGTAATAACCGTATGTGGAGCATCTGTTTTTTATTTTGGTTTTTTTCTGGTGGCATTTTTCCTTGAACACTTACACTATTCTTCTACTATTTTTTCCTACCCCAGTAGCTTGTGTGGTCAAAATATTACTAGAATAGTCTTCAGATACAACCTATTTTTTTTTCTTTGCATTTGAAAGTCAGAGACTGTATGAAACACTGCAGATGTTCCTATGGAGTTCATCAGACAGTTTGCTTCTTCCATATGTGCTGCTGTTACTTTTATTTAACGACGATCTCAAAACCAACAAAATTGGTTAAAATAAAATGTTAATGGCAGGGCACAGTGGCTCACGCCTGTAATCCTAGTACTTTGGGAGGCTGAGCTGAGAGGACCACTTGAGGCCAGGAGTTTGAGACCAACCTACATAACAGAGTGAGATCCCATCTCTATAAAAAAATTTAAAAATTAGCAGAGCGTGCTTGTGGTTCCAGCTACTTGGGAAGCTGAGCCTGGGAGGTTGAGGTTGCAGTGAGCCGTGATGGTGCCACTGCTCTCACTTCAGACTGGGTAATAGAGCAAGACCGTCTGTCAAAATAAATAAATAAACAAAGCTAATTTATAGAATGTAGAGTCAGATTATCTAGTCTTGTTTTACTTTTGATAAAATGGAAGGTCCCAGAAGTAAAGTGATTTATCTGCCTAAGTTGCTAAAGTTGGGCAATAGCGGAAATCTAAGTCTTTTCATATCCATTATAGTGTTCACTGTGTTACACTGTATCATCCATGGGATGAATCGATTTGATGATTGACACTTAAAAATTGGCCGGTGGCGGTGGCTCACACCTGTAATCCCAGCATTTTGGGAGGCTGAGGCGTGCAGATCACGAGGTCAGGAGATTGAGACCATCCTGGCCAACATGGTGAAACCCCATTTCTACTAAAAAAAAAATACAAAAAATTAGCCTGGCGTGGTGGCGGGTGCCTGTAGTCCCAGCTACTCGGGAGGCTGAGGCAGGAGAATGGCGTGAACCC